TTCATTGCACTTCTATCTCATGAACAGTTATATGCACATATGTAGAAATTAATGTAAAAGCCATGTTTCTTCATATAAGGCAGTGAAAGATTTGGGTATTTTATACTGGTGTGAATTTCAGTATCTTATTTTGTACAATTCTGTATACAATGGTAGCTACACGTAAACAAGTAGGTGTTACGCTATATCTAACTTTAAAACTTTTAATGCCTAATTTGAAGTAATCTTAAAGGATCTTCACTGCCTACTAAGTAATGTATTTGGACATATGTATTGATAATGTTATTTACAAAGAGACATTGATGTTTTACTTGTGCTTCCTTTCCTGAATTTTATTATTCATGTACCAAAATGTTTATCTGCAAAAAAAAGTCCCTTAATATATGGGAGTGGGGGGACATTTGGAGAATATTTTTATAACAATTTTGTAGGTAGCATATATATTATAATGGTATTGAAGTGGAAAGTTATCATGTTTTACATAAAAGTAGTAATGTAACTTATTTAACATATTAAACTTCAGTTTCTTACAGTAATTTTTGACAGTGCATGTTCGAAAGTGCCTCACAATTAGGGGTTTCTTTGAACAGCAAGTGGGTACATTTGACCATGCACAAAAAATATTTCTGAACAGGAATCAAATTAAATTAATATATCAGATGATCTTAAGATTTGTAGATGAATACTTTTTTCCATTGAAGAAAAAAAGTCTATGCCAGAAGACTTCAGTGACTGAGTACAAACTGTCCCACCAGAAACACTGGGCTTAGGCAGTTTCAGTATAATATCTCTCTCTGTTTTACCATCATAATCTTTTCCTGTACCATTCAAACCTGCTCCACATTCTTTCGTTATAAATAACCTTACAGAAGATAATAAATTACAACAAAATAAATAAAACAAACATTTGTTGCAGAGAAACATACACTTCAGATTGCAGAATAGCATAAACAAATTTTTCCAAATTCTTTTTAATTGCAACATGAATCCCACAAAATAAAATTCACAGATTTACTTTTCCCACCATAAAACAAAAAGGTTCTTCATTGCCTCCGAACTATAGACTGGATTGGAGGGAAACACCTGTTGACCAGGACTGTCACAATCGATAACTCAAAGAAATTATAACACCCTCAGTTGATTGGCTCAAAATTCAAACTTCAAATGTACCCTCATCTCCCCTACATTTTTAACAAATAGATACCTATTTTGTTATATGAATTATGTTTACTGGAAGATAAATTTTATATTGAGGTTTTTTTGGGGGGCTGATAATTTATTTTTAGAATTTAGGTTACTAAACCCTGGTTTTATGTTTTAAGTGGTTTGTATGTTATGACCACTGAAGTCAAAACTCATTTGTTTCAGTTGGTAAAAGTGACATACATTAGCTGACATTCATCTGTGATTGACAATGTCATGTCATTGCTTCATTGAATGTAAGGTTTGTTTCAAAGAGGTTTTGAAGGAATACATATTTAAGTTACTGATTAAATAAAATAATTTCTTATTTTTCACTTTGTAACTTATATTTAGTATATGATTCCTGGAATTCAGTAAATTACATCTTAACCTCAACAATATTTTATATGGAATAACAAACTTTTGGTTGCAGTTTGCAGTCAGTATATATATATATACTGATTGAATGAGTTAGCTTTATATACTGCCCCTTCCATTTGCTTTTAGGACAGATGAGCCAAATTGATGGGAATACTTATATAATTATATAATTTAGATAGTAATTACATATTAACATGTGGGTTGAACATTGCTATATATATTGAATGATATGAAGCTATATGATAAATATATTTGTTCTGTAGGTTTCTTAATCTATTTCTAATATTCCAGGATAGTCAGTTTAGAAGAAATATTTGCCACTGTTGGCACCACATTTGTATAATGCTTGCATTTTTTAAAACTGGTAACATAATATTCATATCACTAATTATGAAATTGGGTTAGGAAGTATGTGTTGACTGTTGTTAAAAGATTTTTGAAGCATGATGGTAGGTGACAAAATATGTCAGATGCCTGTAATCATGTTTTGCTTCCTACTTTCATCCCTGTATTATTATTGTGTAGTCTCATTAGCTAGCACACATGATTCTTAAGAAGTAACATTTAACATATCTATCTCACGGCAGAAATGTTGTCATTGATAATGCATCTCACAACCTTTTAGATATGTGCCTATATTTCTGATTATATAAGAATAGCAAACTGACTGACAAATTTTTCGGTTATTCTATGGCTAACTAAATCATTGGTTTGTGTTTTCTTATTACAGATTTGTTCACAGAGATAAAAAGTATAATTCCAAATAGTGGAATCAATTCACTTTCAAAATAAAAATATGCACTTTACATTCCAGTGAAGTGTTTATGACACTGATGATGTTCTTTTGGGTTTTGGCACCGTGTAGATTCATAGATAGATGCGAGTGTTTCATGGAAACACACTGTCTCCATCTTCAGGTCAGAAGTCGCTTTTGCTTCCTCTAACCTCATAAAATCCTTCTACTTCTCAGCATTGCCACTTCAGCCCTGAAGATGGAGACAGTATGTTTTTCCAAAATATTTGCCTCTACCTACAAGTCTGCATGGCACCAAAATCCAGAATATCAACATCCTTACTGCCATGATAACCTCAAATCTCTTATATTTGTGAGACTCTCCTTTTTATTTTATGCATGACTAAACAAGGGTATGTATATGCCAGAGAAAAGCAGAAAAATAAACGGAAAATAAAATTTTAACTGATACTTGATGTTTACATTTGGCAGTGGGCAGATTACTAAACTCAAGATGGAATTGGTGCTATAGTAGTAACATAACCAATTTAGCTGTGTGCTCTTACCATGTGGCTTATTTATTTTATCTTTAAACACAAATTATTTTTCAGAGATATGATTTTACAAAATATAGCACAGTGTAATATTTTAACTTTGCAACCCACAGGTTTCAAATTACTGATTTAAAGGTTTTTGTGGCTGTAGATGTGACCTTAAGTCCTCACACCTGTTTTCTCATAAAGCACCAATTTATTGAAAGTTGTACAGTAGTAAAACAGTAATGTTCAAAATAATGAAAGTGAAATTTGCATTCTCAGTCTCATAATAAATCATTTTGAGAAATTTTGGCACTAGATGCCTTGGGTAACAATGTATTTTTGGCTGAAATGTAAATTATCAATTTCTGTTAACTCCTGAACACATCATATCTTTTTACCAGAGGATTACACCTTTGTGTTATATGTTAAGTAGTTGTTATCATATAATATTCCCTGTATAAACTCCTGTTGGTGTTTTATTATTTAATTTATTTTTGTGCACTCTGTTGTATAGTGTGTGTGCTACATGCAGGCATGAAGCACTCAATATTTAAAAAAATGTGTATCTATTACATTTGTATTATGAATATTATGTAGATATTGTACTCTAAATGTACATTAATTTTGTAAAAATACCCCAGCTTGATTTTTACAGAAGCGTCTTCAACACAGTACAAAAGAATCATGGGGTTTAAATCCTACCCATTGAACTGATAAGTCCTCAAATTTAAACATCCAAAATCTACAGAAAACAGTACATTATCAGAAAATTATTGCTTACATTGACTGAACTTTGAGTATGTATTTGGAGTATTTTCTTTTCTTTGACTGTCTAAAATTATTTTAAGATGTCTCTCGCTATAGCATTTAAGATTCCATTAACCAAAAAACGTTTGTTCAAATGTCATATATGATGGTAACTGAATACAATGAAGTCTTCTCAGGTGATGGGAGTCACAGTTCACGCTTAAATCGATGGCATTCAGTTCCTGCTGTTATTTAAAGATTCTATTACATATTGCTAGTGTAAAACTTATTACTTATTTTGTTCTAATTTACATTTGAAAGTTAATGTGTAAAAGGAGAAATATTCTCCACACCAGGAGTTAGTATGTGCTAGGGTCCAAATAAAATGTTGTGAATTAAATAAACATAGCATTATGATTCTGTTACTTTGTGTGCATTATTGTAATATGAAAATTGTTTCAGGTTAACATAAGAACAAATTGTTGATGCAAGCAGTCATGAACTCGTACATAAGTGTATATTGTAGTATGTGCATGCTACTTAGTGTTATTACCATACATTCAGCCTTGCCTAGGACTTGAATTGTAGTTTTGGTACCACATTTAATGTTTCATTGTCTGATCCCTCAAATCTGTTCTTGCAGATAATCAGTTCATACAAGGATAATTAGTTGCAGTTTCCACTGCAGCCAAGGACAGAACCAGCAGCCTTCTGTGTATATATACCAGGTACAGCAATAACATGCAATAGCTAAATAATGAAATACAGGGTTGTAGCCAGGTTGAATGAGGGATATAATGACTGTTTTAAATGTCGTTGAAAAATAGTTTTATTTTAGTACAGCTCTTGAAGAAAATGTGCCATGTTCTTCTCCTGGGCCCTGAAAATGACCAATTAAAGACTTCATCCCAGAAATGGTCTGTCCATTATGCAATTATTACACGCACATTATCTCTGCAGAAACCAACTCTCTACTTAAATACTTGCTGTATAATTGTTATGTAAAAGAGGTAGCTGTTTAAAATGTATTAGTAATTCAATCAGAAAATGTGGTTTTATTTGATTTCAGCATTCCTTGTATAATGAGGAGTCCCATAACTTGTATTCTTCATCAGATATTATAATTATCAAATCTAGGATGAGATGGGTGGATCATGTAGCATGCATGGTTTAAAATGAGAAATGTGTACTCTTTATATAATTGTTTTACTTTTCGGAAGACGCCACTTACCAACATTTACAAAATACTCATCACTTCTTTCTGTTGTTGGGGTTGTATCATGGAACACTCACCTTTGTGACTGTCGGAAAAAAATAAAATTAAATCCGTGGCGTAACAGCTCCAGAGAGCCAAAGCCGACTAGCTTGACTGCTGGCCTCACATTCACATGCCTAAGCAGAGGTGAACGATCATCCAACCAGATACAGAGTGATGTGTGGTCAGCACGACAAACCCCCAGCCATTGCTAGTTTTCCTGACCGGATTACTCTACTTATCGCAGTTCCCCAATTTCCTCACGATGCTGGGTTGGCACCTTTCCCATACACTGGTCGAAAGCTCGTGAGAAAATTTCTTCTCCCCCGAGACTCGAACCAGCGCGCATTCCGTATCGCTGGTCCGAAGCATGATGCCTCAGACCACGCGGCTACGGCGCGGGACGTGACCAACTTAAAACTCCACGATAAAAGTTCCCATCACTTATTCATTGAAAGAAAGTGGTGCTTTTTAACCATTGCTTGCTTTGCTGAAATTATTCCTCCTACCCCACCATAATTAATTCAGCACACGCAATCAAGTTTTATTTAGCCTTTAAAGGGTCAATTCATGTCAGTCACATCATGAAAGACATCACAATTAAATTAGGAAGTGCCAGAATGACTGTACCTTCATCTAACAGACAAACAAATGTAATTTTATTCAGAATTTTACACAATAATTACATTTTATACACCTGAAAATAGTTACTGAAAATACCTATTGAGCACCATAATTGAAGGACGTCTCACATTTGATCATTCTTTTGATTGAGTCCTTTCTGAAAGACAACAATGGGATATTTAACAGATATGCATAAGCTACTGTAAAGTTCCTATAATGAATATTTTTTAACAACTGCATGATCTTGTTAAAATATTGCAAATTCACTAAGTACCCAAAAACCTTTACATGTGCCATTTTTACAAGGGCTTGGTTTATGAACTTATTTATGACTGTCTGGTCCAGCCAGTGCTTCATTTCTGTGATCCACTGCTGTGTCCCTCTACAGTCTCATTCTTCCCCTCATCACCTGTCGAGAATGTGCGCCTGACCTGTTTGCATTATCATCAAACTTGTATTTCTTATGTCCAAGTGCAGGTTCTCTGGATCTAACCTTGGTAATATGAAGAGAAGCATAAATTTGAAGTGAATGTCCATGACTTTCAACTGCCAGTTTACATATTTCATCCACCCTGAAACCAATTCACTCCACACAGCACTGCCACGTCTATATGATATATCATCACTTCTGTGCACTAGGTACTGTTCACAGAAAAGAGAAGTCAATCTGTCATGACTACACAGCAAACAAGAAGAGGAGTCAGAGTCATTTACTGAAGGGCAGGAACCAAGTGACGCCAAGATGAAGCTCGTAGTTAAAACGTTGACTGGCGGAATGGTCCGAGATTGTGTCTGGTCTATCAGATTGATGATTGGGGTTTCCTGGACAGAAGATGATGGTAAGTCATTTGTGGAAGATGATATACTTGTACTTATAGTAGTTCCCGGAATCTGACTCACTATGAATGCCGAACCAATCAGTGTCAACACGCTGGCTGTGTAGCTTGTCAGACAAACGGCAGAGACCTAAAAACAAAAGCAACCATCACACTTACTGTGTATTCCTTACTGTAGTAAATGAAACACTGATATTTCTATAATTATTTCTAACACGTGAAAATGTTTAGTTTATCACCCTATTTGCTTTTCAAAATCGTTAAAGATCGAGACACACGTAGAATATTATTTTTACCACATCTGTATGGTTTTCAAACATGGTCTCTTACTTTAAAGGGACAGCACACGGTTCAAGTACAAGGGACGAAGTGAGTAATTTTTGGTATTAACAGCTTCATACTTTGTACGTGTTACTTCGTACTTTTAGGAGAATGATGGGATGCAATAGGGAAGAGTAGAAATGCAGAGTGAATTTGATGAGGAAAGTCACCACAGTTAAAAAGTCATTAATACCTCTTACCAGAACAAACCTAATGTCTCATAAAGAAAGAAAAAAATTTAGTGTAAAATTAATTTATAGCATATTCATGAACTGTAACAGACTTACACTTCTCTTAAAATTCAAGTGTTTTCACTCACAGTTAAAACAGCCCGTGCTAGTGCAGCCAAGTCTACAGTATCCAAAAGGTTTTCAAGGTCCGTATATGAGAACCAGCCCCTACGTTTACCCTCCTTCAAGGCGATGTCTTTCTCCATCCTATGAAGTTTTGTCCAAAATGCTTGCTCACTGACAAATACTTCCCATTCCTGACAAAATTGAGAATATAACACGTTAAGTAACCATAACGGAGAAGAGGCTTGCATGCAATAAACAAAACTAATCAAAGTGACATACACAGGAAACATAAAATCCTAGATCCCACTGTCAGCAATTATATATCAGAAATATGGTTTCAGAATTTATATTCATATAGTCTTTTCTCTATAATTTTCCATGACTATTACCATGTGCAAATGGTCATTTGCTTTCCCCCTCTAAGAGAGAGGAGGGGGGAAAAACACCCAATAGACTTTGAGGAAGATATTAATTACCTATATAGGTACCAAAAGTGAAGATTAATATGAACACTCTTAGGACTACAGGCAATGCAATATCTGTGGTGCTGGGATCAGTACCTTAAAATAGGCTATGACATCTTCCTTCTACACTTACTCTTACTCTATAGCTCTAAGTCCTTGGAAACCTTGGCTGCCTCGCATGTGGGAAGTTACTTTCCTTCTACACCCTAATATATGACTCATAATCACTCTGTTATTCTATGCTGTTTTACCTGTGGAGTTGATAAAGCTTTGCTAAATAAACTGAGAAGCAAACACACTGTCAGATTCCAAAAATGTTGGTACTCAGACCAATATTCAAAACTGTGACCTCCAAAATATGAAGCATACAAAAGAGCAAATGATATCTGGTTCAGATTATGAGTACAAACATAATACTGCAGCAGGTACAGTACTAACAATAGCTTGCAGGAAGTCCCTTTCAAAGTGATTTATATCCTTCACACTGAGTCCTGCTGATGCAGCCCATTCATCATTGAATACCTCATCTGGTTCTCCATCATCATGTAAAAATTTACTGGCAACCATCTGAAAATACAAAGCATCACTAAAAATTCTGTATAAACATCACATAAGTGTTCTTCATGCTCTAGCATGAGCACAGAATATTTTATGTGCCCCAAGGTCCCATTAAAATGTGTACAGATGTTCATAACTTAAAGACATCCTGCATATGTATCCATTTTTTGGACTTATTGAAAGCTTTGCACAATTACCTGCAGACTGACTGAATTTTTATTACAATTATAATGAAATCCACACAATCTATCTAACTGGGAAGGAAGCAAAAGAATAAAAATAAACATATCAAGTCTAATAAATGAGTTAAATCAGACAGAATTAATCCTCAAACTGCTTTGAATACACTTGTAACAGCTTGCACAACAGTACAACAAAAGATATTCTTAATAACAATCTGCTCATTCTGGAGGATGGAATGTGTCCTGAATCACTTCAGTATTATGGCCCAAAATGCAAGTCTTCATTACAGGTATAGTAAAATGCATCCAACTAAATTTTGAAGTAAGGAACCAATGCATGCTAATGTTCTTACTGTTACACATTTCATTACGAATAATGAAGCCTAACAGCAAAAAGAAACTCAAGGACTATGAAAAAAATTCTACCATTGACACTAAAAATAGTTCTGAAGGTGCAACCCGTTGTAAATAATCAGGGTTACAGGTCTTGAGACGCTCCAAGTACAATAATGCAAGTACTAGTGAGCATGGGGAGACACAAACACTTCTAGACATGGCAGCGGCTTCTTCCAAATCCAAACGTTCCAGGCTGTGTCTACTCTTAACCTCTGAAAAGAGCTCTGCCGCCAGTTCTGTAACAAGATATTGAAATTATACCATATGAAGAAGCTGTAATGTACTCAGAAAAAGCTTAGGAATTACATTTTTGCATCTGGAAACATTTGACAGGATTCTCTGGAAACGTTTTTACTACAACTAACCTAAACTTATAAAAAAATACATGTTATACCCGAAACTGGAAGGCTGAACCTCTCTGTGATCGGAAGTTCTCCATAATACAACGTCTTCTTTATGCGAGAGAGAAATTCTTTATGATTTCCCATAACCTGCAAACAGGCAAGTTACAAAACAGTAAGATATAGCAACACATGTACTCGTGGTGATAAAGTACGTAAAATAGGTTGACTGCGAGTCATACTTCGCCTTTACACACTACCTAGTGCCTCCGTGACAGGACACATTATCGTGTTCAAACTTACCTTAAATTTACTTTTCGTAACATCTCGCCTTCTCTTTGGGGACACAGCTAACGAAGACATTCCTTAAAAATGTAATGTTTAAACTTTACGAGTAATTTTCTAATTGCAATATTGCTTGCTGTATGCTGCTCGTTCTAGTCGTTTAGGTGTGGTCAGGTTGTGCAGTTCACATAATCTAAATGAACATCATACAATGCCTTGTGTCCGTAATAGGCCGTGTAGTGTCGAAGAAAATAATACAGGGCATGCTGCCATCTAAAGGGTTTAAGGAAATGTCGATAGATGGTAGAAGTTTGTATTGGTTGTAGTGATAATTTCATAGATGGCATGATACTGTTTGTTTCATTAGTCATTTGTTTTCCGGCGGTGAAGACGAGGACGGATGAAACAAGCAATAAGTTACAATGAAATACTGGTAAAATGCAACATTCCATAAGACTATGAGGTTTTCCATGCTATTGTAGTTACTGGAAATCTCACAATTTTTTGTTGTTGCTCATTTATATATTTTTCATTAATATGTGTGTGTAGACTGCAGGAATTGGAATAAATAAATTCTGAATAAATGCTCCAGGAATTTGCAAGTGTGCCCATTGGTCTGTCAGTCTAGGAAGCCTTCAAATGGAATGCGATAAAAAGCCAGATTACAAAACATGTAAATTATATCTACTTCTGGCAAGGGATAATGTCCAACAATTGTAGTGTAATTATTAGTATTATATATATAATATAGGAATGTATTAGTCATGGTAAGTTTAATCTTTGATGTTGGGTTTTGTTAAGGATATTGGACTTCATAAAACAACAGAGGATGGAAATGAATTTTCTCAATATAATAAAATATTTGTTGGCAGGTTGCTGGTAATGCTCTGTTCTTTGCACTAATCCAGTTCTTCTTTTGCTATCCATACAAAAAGTTGACAGTGGAACCACGGTTCCGGAAAATCTGACGTAAATACGTCTCTGTAATGTAATGTAATGTAACAATTCTTATATAAGATAAGTATTTGTGATATTCTAAAACGTTTTTACCAGCACAAAATTATCTACTCTACGACGCATTTCTTCTACAGGTGATTCACAGCTCAGCTCTTTCCACAATAACGAAAGCGGATTGTTGACGACAGTAATATAACACAACAATGCCGAGTCAACAGATGACAATTAGTTGCTTAGGTAACAACAATGCACGCAGGAGTTCATATAAAAGCTGGCCATTGTTGTCGGTCCATATTTACACATTGTTGATATGGATCTTACACATCTTTGTTATGCTTTTTTGCAGAATGACCCTTACATATAGACGTAATTACGTCAAAAATACATCACATTTCAGGAGGCAGTTTTCAACAATCTCGTAATAATTACTGCAGGACATGCAACTTAGCAAATCAAGAATTTCATTCATGTGTAGATATATTATGAAATGTAAAATCACGCCTCTTATACTCAACATTTATTATAGTAATAAATTACAATTATTGGTCAGGTCTTGCAGAAATGTAATATTATTAAATTACCCCCCAAAAATCGCACCACAATGCTATGTATTTCAATAATGTTACTTATTATTATGCCGCCATTGTGTTATATATTTAAACACTTCTTTTATATTCTGGTTTTAGTATTCTGGTGGCACAATACTGTCCAGACCAGAACAACTGCCACTGTAACACAGGTTTCATAATTTTTGAATTCTGTTTTTTTATTTGACATGTTTACAGGTGCTTGTAACAAATGATGTCTAGTCGACTATCAATCCATTTTGAAGTTAATAACTTCTATGAGCAAAGGCAATAATGAAAGCCTGTTTTTATATGTGTTGATGAAGGACAACAACTAGTTATTTGTGATTAGTAATCTGATCTGCTGCTGTCATTGCATGGAACCATGTTTACTGTAACAAACAGCTTGCTTTTATTTAAAGTAAAATTTGACATTTAATTCTCCTTTAAAGTCTTGCAATTCTTTAAAGAGTCCAGTGTTGAAATTCATATAATTATGCATTTCGCTACTAGTTTGGACATGACCTTGAGATTTGTGTACACAGCTGCAGCATGCAACTTCAGAACATCAGTGCACACGAGGTCATGCATTTCCTTGCAGTGATACTCCACTAGCAGAAATTTTGCGAACATAATTTCAAATGTTCTCATGTTCACCTTCCTAATCCACAAAATGTACCAACATATTTATAAATCCCCACATTTCACACAACCGGCTCCGAAGATTCTCGGTTATTGTCATCAAACCAAAGAAGAGCGGAACGAATTAGACAATTCATCCAAGTTACTTGCTATTTTTCATGCATAAATGGTCTTGAGGTCTATTTGGAAGAGCAGAACGAATTAGACAAATCATCCAAGTTACTTGCTATTTTGCATGCATAAATGGTCTTGAGGTCTATTTCTTGCGAACAGAAATCTCATACAGCAGACACCGCTTTACATTCTTCATGGCGATGAGGATCTTAAGTCCCTCTTAGAACTAGCACCACTTCTCTTCTGCGTTTCCTCCTAAGAGCCGTGTGCTACCGCGTGCTGTCTTAAGCGTGACAGCCTGATGCAGGACAGTGCCAGGCGAGGGCCACCTCAGGGCCGACTGACACGATTCTGCCCGGGACGGTGTCCGTGGTGGGGGCTGAGGAGGTTCCTTGTTCATCTGGACCACAGAAGGTGCAAGTGGGGCTTCACCTTTGTGATTTCGTTTTGTTGGTTTCTTGTAGTCCGGTTGTGCCGGAGGTGTCTGTGGGGCGGCACTGACAGACTGCAAGCTTGTTGCCCTGTGTAGAGATAATCGTAGAGGTTTCTTTGGTGGTGTGGGTCTTTGGGGCTTGCTCTCAGTACAGCTGCTATTTCCATTGTGGTAGTTGTGATGTTTCCTGTAATTGCGAAGAGTCGTATGGCTTGTTGGCTCGGAACCGTAATCCAGAGATCTTGTGCTCTGAGTGTCATGGTTGTTTTGAGAGTGAGGATTTGATTGCTGATTGTTCCTTTCGTGAGTGTGGTGCTGATTTGTTGATAATGTCTCGGAATCAAAATCCAGAGATTTTACACTTCGAACATCATGTAATTTATGAACGTGCTGGATTCCTGAGGGTGAGTCAGAAGTGCGATCTAATTTTGATTTCATGTCCAGAAGTAACTGATGTGATTCAGATTGCTGGTAGTGTCCTTCTGAGTGTCTTCTGTGGTAATGTTTTGAATGATCAATGCCAGAAGAAGTCTCTGAATTATAATCATATCCGCACCGTTCACCAGGTTTGGCGATCCTCGTTGCTTCATAGACTCTGTGATGAGAATGATGTTTGGTATTCGGCTGGAGTGTAGTAGAACCATCAGATTTCTTCGTATCAAGTGAGTTGGTACTGCATGCATTCTGCAAATGGTGATGATGGTGGCGGTGGTGCGAGTGTCTCTCGTGTCGGCGATGATGGTTCATCCCTCTAGAAGATGAACAGTCTGATCCAAAATCAAGGGACTTTGTACTGCACACATCTTGGTTCTTTGTGATGGTGTAATGATGGGTGGTTGCACCTGGAGATGTATTTGGAGCGTTTGGTTTGGGTCTCAGTGTGGGCAGACTGTGTCGGGACTCTGCAGGACTGCTGCTTCCCACATCGAGTCCGGGCAGATTTGCGACCAGTGCTGTCACCTGTGGTCCCTTCTGGAATACCTGAACGTCAGGTTTGCCTGTGGAAGCTTTCGCAGGTGTATTTGTTGAGCCGGCTCCCTTCAGAGATCCGTTTGATAACGCTGAAGGTGATGAGGTAACGGAACTTTCTGTTACAGCATGTGACATAATTTCTTCTTCTGTTGTTCTCTGCAAGAGTTCTGCAACTTGTTCTTCTAAGTAGGAGATCCTGTGTGTCAGACGGAGGTTGTCACTCCTGAAGCTGTCCTTGACACGCTCTGCATCTTCTGCGCGCCCTCTCAGAGTACCCAGCTCTTCACGGAGCAACAGAAGTTCCCGTGAATGGTCGTGTTGGTGGATGATGGCCGTTGTGGGCAGAAGGGATGCTGAATTCGATGGACGCATTCGCATCACGACCAGCAGGGCGGGATCTGGGGTCACAGCCAGAAGGCGCAACATGTCCTCCTTAGTCTTTGTCAGTACCAGCTTTCCATTCACCTCGAGCAACCTGAACATATTAATACGCTCTAGCTTAATCATGAAGTAAAAATACGATGACATTCAGTTACATTTTGGAAGACTTGTTATAATAAGAAGGGGAACATCCATAAATTTATGGTAGTAATGTCTATAATGCTTTAAGCATTAGAAATGGAAATGTGGAAAGGATGTATTGAGGGGCAGTGGCCACGTGATTCATCTTATCTTCAGGAATTGAAAGAAGCTTTTAAATTTTGGAGGAGCCATCATAACATTGTGTGTTGTGTAAGATGCAGTATTGAATTTTGATACATTATATTTATGTAATTTTTTAAATTGTGAGTAATACACAATCTTTTAGATATGAACTGTCAGCAACTTCGTGTCTGGATAATGTGCAAGAGGCCCTGTGAATATCGCCCTTATTAATTTAGTACAATAATTTATTTGATATTCTTGTCTGAAGATTAACATTCGATGTGGATAAAAGAATTGGGGTTTGTCGGTGTTGACTGACCAAACACATCCACTTGTTGATCAGATGTTAGCTTTGTTTATATGATGATTTTGTCCTGTACCCTGGAAAATGGTTCTTTGGGATATATGGTCGGAGGGTGTGGATTGGATTCAGGTGGCAGTTTGTTGTGAGCATCGCAGTAAACCCTTGGGTTCCATAATAGCAGGGGAATATCTTGACCAGCTGCGGGTAATATTGGTTTCTCAAGATCTCTGCTGCGTGGAATTAAAGTTGGAGACTTTCGTGGAATTATGTGATGCAGAAACTGTGCATTAGTCACTGCTGTTTCCGCTTCTTTGTGCGCCTGCGTGTGTTGTGGAGCTTTGAGATGGACACGGTGCGAAACGAATTCATACTAGCTACTCGGCGGAAGTGACGTGGAAACCTGACAGTATCGCTGGACGGTACAGGGATCATCGTGGCGTAATTCCGGTGTTTCTCGCAAATCGCACACCAAGCGCGCTGTTGCAGTCTTTGTTGTCCTCAGGAGCTCCTCGACAGGGCGAGGTTCCAACACCATTGACAGATTTACAAAGAAGCAGCTGTTTAGGGCTGGAAAGCTTCGTGGGGTGGGGTTATGGAAAATTACAAAAGTGACATGTTTTGACATGCCCCGTGTTTTATTTTCGGCCCGGAAGCTGGATGTTCTCAACTGAGTTTTGGAAATGAAGCATGCAGATGGACAGACACGTTCTCGCTAACACTCGTTAATTTTATGCGTTTCTTGTAAAGAACGCATATCAAGTCTACTTTTCAATATATCCTGCACACAAAATACATCCTCGGCTCGCTATTAGAATGGTCATAATGCCTAACACGTGTTAATTACTATTCTCGTCATTAAGAAAATGTTAATTTTCATTACGCCATGGTACGTCTTCTGTAAATACAGAATATCGACGTTTCTTGTTTGCCACTGCAGAAACCACAGCTCGGCCAGTATTCTGGCTGGCAACGGGTTGTACAAACGAAGTTCGATTCCCGGTGAGGACAGGGAATTCTCTTCGCCTTCACGTCCAGAACAATTCTGGGACCTTGCAGCCGCCATTTAAATTAGAAACTGGGAGTAAAGAGGCCAGAACTTGGAGCTGATCAATCAATGGCTTGACCTTCACCTTTAACTCGTCGCTTGTAAACAGTACCTGTCCCCCTTGACCATGCCCGAATCCTCTGTAGCCCACTCTACGTAAAGTCCGGGCGCGTCTTCCGAAGGTCCAGCACCGAATCTCGGACTCTTGGGGTCGTAGTTCAGTTCCAAGGCGTGCAGGGTCACGTGGTTAGAACCACTCACACAGCTGGAACGGAAAGAGACTCTGTTAGTTGGAACTTTGCACTGCGGTTTCACTACGATAAATAACAGAACCCCCTCTCGAGTCCCGAGGCAGTGTCAGTTGAACTTATTTCACTTTCATGACTCGAAGCTTTCGCGGCGGCGACTAAATGTGATAAAATCTCGGGCGACCATCCACGTCAATTCGGAGCAAAAATCCGGAACTTCGGAGATGCTTTCTGTCTCTGTCATCAGGGAGTGATGCCGTTCGAGTGACGCGGCTGGTCGCCCGAGAAGGTTTTATCGTATTTTTATTCTTCATTCCAACTTTAATATTATCACTCAATCCAGTCCCGCACTATGGTGTGTATCCCGCGGTCAAGCCTTACGTCCCTTCTGTTGTACAGAATAACTTTCGCTATCATCTTTTCATCCCAAACAAAGCAAAGTGACATTTCACATGATACAAAATCTTTCAAAATTACGTCTCTGTCGTAGTATCCTATTCGTTGCATCGTGCAGGTGTAGTTTTTATTTAATCGCCCCTTCATACACAGCTTCTGCCAATGCTGATTGCCGTTATATGTTTCGATGATCCTGAACATGACCTAATGACGGTCGAAACATGTTCAAATGTGACAACCCAGTGAGTCAGTACAATAATAGAACAGTGTAATGGGGTTAAATTCTGTCCTTGACAGAAATCCGACCTGTAGATGGTAGAGGCGTCGTTCTTGTTGCGGTTTTGGTCGGCGTCTTCCAGGCAGAGCTGCAGGTTTCGGCTTTCCTCCAGCAGCGTGAGGAGGTTAAGTTCCTCTCGACCCAGCTGGTACTCGAGTTCCGCCTGCTGAATCCGCACGTCGATGTTGCTGAGACACGCACATTGTCAGGTGTGAGTTACGCTCATAAACAACGAGAACGCGTTTTGTGGTGGGCCTCGGCCAGCACAAGGGAGCTACTGGGGCCGTGGTTCCGTTTCTGCTGGCAAACTCTAACCTTGCATTTATTGTAGGGCCAGTTTTTAAACCACGTCGTTTCGGAAGTTGCGTCCGGGGTGAGGCTGAATGGACCAGATGACCCAATAGAGTAGAGTTTTGTCATGTCACCAGAAGTCGGAAGAAGAACCAACGTCTAAAACGTCGTGGTTTAAAAAAAATACACCAGTGATATTCTCCACATGGCACAAACTCGACAAAAATCTTAAAACGTCGCCATGTTTCTTGTTTTACAGAGGATATTTTTGCTTTGTAACAAACTATAGACTACATTAACAGTCGATGTTTCTATGATGATGTTTCATTAAATTTCCTACGCTGCCGAAATTCAACGACAACCAGAAAATAAGAGAATAGTACAAGACAGAGAGAGAGAGCATTATTCAGGCTGAGGAATGCGTGTTTTCTGTAATTATGTACATGACAACTTAATTAAATATTTATCGTATCTCTATATGCTTTGGAATGTGTCGTCCCACCTTCTTTGTGGGACTCCGCCCCATCTTTTGAAGAAGATCTGCGTAAATGGCTTCTTCTAGGACTGGGACGAAATACGTAGGTCCCCACCTTTATCTGCAAATGGCATGGCATGCGGGGTGGAGCGTCACTTTAATGTAACGTCGGTCAATTTCTATCAGACTACACGGCGGAACAACCCAGAATACAGTCATCTCCTATTAGTTATAATTAGTTATAATTGCAAAACGAGTTTTAAACCTTTCTTTCAGGTTCCGCGGGAATACTGAGTTGCCAAAAGGGGTCTCGCGCCTCCGCAGAGCCCAAGAGAACCGGCGACAGTTGGAACCTCGTGGGATTGCAGCTAGCTACTCACTCGGTGATGTCGAGCCTCTCGAGCGCCATCTTGAGGTTCTTGATGATGAGGCGCTTGTTGTCCATGTCCTGACGCAGCCTCTGCAG